TTTTCTGGCCCTACTGACAATATTTTATTAATGCTTTATTAAAGCACATGGTTCAGTGAGCTTTGCACAAAAGAACGCCCTCCAAAAAGCTACTTTTACTTTTTTTCTCAGAGTACATTTCAGAGCCGCCCCTTTTTCACTTTTACTTGATTAAAGAAGCTGAATCAATACTTCTACTTTTACATGAGTATTTTTCAACACTAGTGTTTGTACTTCTACTTAAGTACAGGATGTCTGTTCTTTTGCAAACTCTGACTAACAGAAGCAAATTTAAAAACAGTAAAATTTCAAATGTAATGACGTGACTTTTTTTTAGATTTTTATTCTGAATGGATGAGAAATTGATGTCTATACGTCATCCTTTCTATATTTTAATTTAGTAGTAGTTATTATAGTGTTATCATGGTGTGATAACAATAATTGTGATAGCATTTTCTTACCAGCAAGCACATAGAGGTTGGAGGGTTTTGGTTCTGAGTCCTGATAGAGGCAGCGGGCAGAGGTAAGGATGGACCGCTGACCCAGCACCACACCACTGCACAACTTCTGCAGTGTGCTGTTCAGCAGAGACACCTGGTGGCAGTATACAGAAAATTTATTTATTATTCTGGTTTTATTTAGACTGACACCACAGTACCAGAGGATCTTACCTGCCAGGGACAGTTACCATGGTGACACGAGGAAAGAGTTTCCTCAGGAAGTCTTCCACAGGGAAACTCGACTGTGGAAACAAAGACAACAATAAAACTTCATCTCACCAGTTTGAACTGGTCTCATAAAGTCTAGTGTTTTTTCAGAGCATCCAACCTTCTGGCAGACAGCTCCGTCCGTCACTGTGCAGCTTGAATCCAGACATGCAGGAGCATCGGAAGGACTCGTAGGTCACTGTGCATAGCTGATGACAAGCAGTCGGACTCTCAGTCGGACACTTAGATATCTCTAAGATAGATTTGGAAAACAAATCATTTTTTTATACGTGATCGTCTGATATTTCTTAATTCCCATTAGTGCACCATGAGTTTTGATCTCCTGTCCTTTTACGGAGGTGTGGTCAGACCTGCTGTTTTGGTTTGCTGTGCTGTGGACGACCTTATAGTCTGTAATGGCTCATCCTGTACTTTCAATTCACAGAGTGGACCGTAGTAAGGGGCGTTGCAGGAGCAGGTAAACCCCCGCACATTGTGAGTGCAGTTCCCTCCATTCAGACAGGGACTCTGCAAGCAGTGGTTTCCACCTCCAAAGACCAAAAACAGAAACTGCTAGTGTTTAGTAAACTAATAAATGTTTATATTTTTGCTGTAAAACTATTAAATCAAATATTTACATTTAAAATAATACATTTGATGACAGTAAATCAACAAAAATATTATTAAATACATTCTAAACACATTTTAATTATCAAACTGCAGTTTCTAGTTGGAAAATAAATGTTTTTTTTATTTATTTTATTTCATTAATTAATCAAATGCAGTTTAGCTGAAAGTAGATACTCACCAGAGTAAACAGCCCAGAACGTGATCTACACACAAACAAAAAAACGTTAGAATCCGAGAGGAATTAAGCAATGCTCTTTTTGTTTTGTTTTTTCTCCTTTTTCTATGTATGTTTAAAGATGATCATTAAACACGCTCAAATCTTCAGATATGACATAAACAGGCTCTGGATTAAGACGGCAGCTCTGGGTGCATCCCAAGGAGCAATTAAAAAGAAACAGAGAACATCAAATGTAACACAGACATAAAAAAAATGCAAATCAAAAATGAGTAGGTGGTCTTTTAATGAGCCAGAACCCTAAAGAATCAGAACCTAAAACATATTGTTTTAGTCTGTGTTTACTGGAATCTAAAAGTAAAAACACAGGTGTAGAAATGAGTGCAAAAGCTCCCTTTTTTAATTTAACTAACCGTCCTTCGGGTGTCTTCAAAGTACTCGCGAGCCTCTTCAAAGTTGCACTGCTCCTCGTAGCACTCCCGCTCCAAGTTGCCCTGTAGGATCTCCTCTAAAATGAACGAGTTGGCCCGTTTAGGGCGCAGGAACACGGCGTGAGCCTCAGGAGCTGAACGAAACACTGAAAACACAAGAGCACTGAAAAGGCTGGAGGCTCCGATATGTTAGGTTACCATGTCATAAATAATAAGGTGTCTGTTGCTGAAACAAAAAACAGTAACATTAAGAGGAAAACAAATAAATGATTTAGAAACTACGTGATGATTATGGATGTCATAGTTACTTTGCCCAATTTTGTCAGTTATTATGTGTTGGTATTCTTCTGTATTATGATTTATGTTCTGATTCTTTAGTTGTGCTGTTTTGACTATTATTATAGGTGTTGTTCAGTGTCAAGTTTGCATCTTGGTGATTTGTTTCTTGTTTCCTGTTTTACTTTGAAGGTCCACGTCTTATGTGCAGTGAGTCTAGTTGTGCTTCCCCCTGTCTCGTTAGGCCTAATTTCTCCCAGCTGTGTCTCCCTCCTGTTTCCTGTTTTGTGATTATCCTCTGTGTATATAGGTCCTGTGTTTTCCTTTGCTCTCTGTTGTGCTGTACCCTCAGATTTGCCTGTGTTCCAGTTATAGCTTTCACGGTTTGGCTTCTGTTTCATGCCAGCAACAAAGCTGAGGTTTTTGTGTTTGCCATTTTGTTTCCACGAGTCCTGCTCTTGGGTCCTCATCCCTGCCTGCCGCACACAGAGCCCTGGCAGTCTCAGCTTCTTTAGCTGAGGGTAAAACAGTTTGATGAGCATAAAAGTTGATGGAAATGTGATTTCCAAAGGCTATTACATGTAGACTTCAGCTAATAACTAATAGAGTTTCAGGGGAGAACAAAAAATAAGAAAATCGTCAGGTCATGTCCGTAAGAAATAGGAAAAACGTCATGCATCTGAATATGAATAGTGTGCCAGAATCAGTCAGGGTTTGGCCTCCCCAGAGCCCGGACCTCAACATTATTGAAGCAGTGTGGGACCATGTTGACAGAGAACAGAGCAAAAGGCAGAAACATCCAAAGTAGAGCTTTTAATGTCCTCTGAGAAAACTGGAGAACTATTCCTGAAGACGACTTAAAGGAAAGACAAGAAAGCTGCCGAAGAGAGTTCAGACTGTGCTGAAGAATGAATGTTCTTGTTATAATTGTAAAAGTCACAATATTAATGGATTCTTTTATATTATTTAAGGTAGTACCTATATTCTATATTTTTAACCATTAAGTAACCAAAGTTATAATAATAATGTAGCAAGCTGTCATTGTGACACGATTAGAGCTAATTGTGTCATGACTGTACTGACAGTAAAAATGTTGTTAAATTCTGTGCCAACTTGGAGTATTTTTATACCACTTGAATGTTTTTGTCAATCAACTAAGGAACAACAATAACACAGCAACAGGTCAAAGGTCACTCTCTTACCTTTTCCTTGACTGGAGACCTGAAGGAAACATTGAAGAAGGCAGAACAGGAGGAGAGACGCTGACATGATGCTGACCGCCATGACACTGACTGCACTGCTGACACACACACACACACACACACGTCTGCACACACATATATACACACTAGTGACTCACAACAGCAGTACAAACCTCACAGAAATTGTATCATGTTTTTAACAGTCTGTTAAACGGAGTTCATTTATATCTGTTCTGAAATAAACTAAGATGTCAGTCTGGTCCCAGGTCATTTTACTGGTGTGCTTTTTTATGTACAGATAAATATCCAGTCATTATAAAACTATTTGTTTTTTTTATTCACATGATTCTCTAAAGAGTTAAAAGTTTCACTAAAGTTTCACTAAACGCTCTGTTCTTGACGTGGACTCTGGCCTTTCTGTTCAAACCACACAAAACAAACTAAAGGGCCGACCTCTGAACGATCAACAGGTCTGTTTGTCTGAGGTAAACGAGGATAGATTTCATCACAAATGTTTATCATCTAGTATATCTGGTACATCTGGTAATAGGTTTATCAGGGTTTACAACTTAAAATTTTATTCAAGAAAATAACAGTTTTCCTCAGCAAAAACACCAATGTTATCGAAAATAAACTAGCTTTTTATGACATTTGCAACTTCATTTTCCTCCAGCAGAGTCACTGGAGAGATCTTTAAATTTCTATTTAGGACATAACAGTTACGTTTAAGCAATTTGATCTTGTTACTTACCATCTAGTAATGCTTGTTTTGTTAGAGTAGTGATTACTTGAAACGTAAAAACATGTATCAGTTCAATTCTGTTTATCTTTATAGTGCAAAATCCCAACAGTTATCTCAAGGCACTAGTAAGGTAAAGACCAGACCCTACAGTAACACAGAGAAAACCCAACATTTCAAAAGCCTCCTTTAAGCAAACACTTGGCAACAGTGGAAAGGAAAAACTCTCTTTTAACAGGAGGAAAACATCTGTTTAACCAGTCGGGCATGAGAGGAGGGAGACAGAACAAAAAGAAACACTAAGGTAGAAAGCCAGAGTTTAAGAATAACTAATGATTAAATGCAAAGTGTATAATGTGCAAAATGAGTGAAAATGATGAGTGAAGAAAAAATAGTGCATCATAGGAAGCCCCCAGCTGACTCAGGGTCACCCGATCCAACCATAACCTTTGTCAAATAGGAAAGTTTTAAGCCTAATCTTTAAAATAGAGATAGTGTCTGTCTCCTGAATCCAAACTGGAAGCTGTTCCACGGAAGAGGGGCCTAAAAACTGAAGACCCTGCCTCCATTTATATTTTTAAATATCCCAGGGACCACAAGTAAGCATGCAGTCTGCTATCTAGGTGCTTTAATGGAGTGATAGGGTGCTATGAGGTAATTAAGATAAGATGGGGCCTGAACTGATGAGCTAGTTCTCCAAAAGTTGATTCTGGTCATCTGGATGTATTTTCAGTGGAAGAACCATTTCATCACTCATCCAAGTGACTTCTTCAGTCTCAGCTGACTGCAGGCTGCAATCACAGCATTGTAAGATGTACCCTTAGGCCCCCTCCTCGATTCAGAGATAGTCTTTCCCTTTTCTTTCGCCATCTTACAATGCTGTGATTGCAGCCATTCCCTAACTCTCTGTGAATGGTACTCATGGCCATTGATCAGTGGGCTTTGATCAGTGGTTGTTGATCAATGGTCATGAGAATTTGTATAATTATGATGAAGGAACTGACCTCCCAGCTTATTGTTCTCTCACTGGGCTGGTTTCAGTCATTATGCAAATGTACTGTTTATAAGATTTGGGGAAACCTGCAGTCAGCTGAGACTGAAGAAGTCACTCGGATGAGTGACAAAACGTTTCTCCTACTGAAAACACTACAACCAGATCAACAGATTCAACTTTTGGAAATTTACTTACCTGGATGATTGAGCATGGATCAAGATGATCAGCTAGTTTTTCAGCATTACTCTGAGACACGATGTTTTTAATTTTAGAGATGTTGCGCAAATGAAAGAAAGCAGCCCGACATTTTTGTTCAATATGCGCTTTTAAGAACATATTCTGATCAAAAACAACTCCAAGATTCCTCACAGTGTAACTGGAGGCCAATTCCATTCAGAGTAAGTATCTGAGGACATATCATATTTCTAATAATTATACAGTTACCTCAGTTTCATTTGAATTTAGAAGCAGAAAAATGAGGTCATTCAGTAACTAATTTTTGTGTGTTATCTGGCTTCGTGGATAGTTGAGTATCATCTGCATAACAGTGAAAATGTATGCTATGCCTTCTAATGATATTTCCTAAGAGGGAGCATGTATAATGTGAAAAGAACTGGTTCTACCACGGAACCCTGTGGAACTCCATAATTATCCTCAGTGTGTTAAGAGGACTCTTCATTTACATGAAAACAAAATGAATGAGATGAGTCCACTGTCAGAGGCCATAGAGTTTTGTAACAAGTCACCAAAGCTGTTTCTTTACTCTGAAACCTGACCGAAACTCTTCAGATAAACTCTTCCTCTACAGAAGATTTTTTGTGCTGTTTTATAACAAGTCTTTCAAGATGTTTGGAGATGAAAGGAAGGTTGGAAAATAGCCTATAATTATGTAGGACAGCTAGATCTTTTTTGTTTGCTTTACTCAGAAAAACAAAAAGAAACAAAAAGTGTGATTTTAAGAGGACATCACACTTCAAACTATTGCTATATTATTGTTACATTGCTGGAAGTTTTTTCAAATTCAGCTCAAAAGCTCATTTCTGTCAGCAACTCATAAAGAATACATGGACACAGACATGCTTTCCATTCTCACTTTAATCATACTGACCAACAAAATTATTAAATCAAGTTTCAGTGGATATGGCATGTTAGTGACAGTTTGTCCGTTTAATGGAATCAGTCTGAACAGAAAGAGTTAAACAGGAATCTGTGAAAAAACTGGAACATCAAACGGAGATCAAGACCATACAAAGCCAAAAGTGAGGGAAGGTTGGACAGAAATTCATCTCAAGTAATGAATTTGAAACAAAAACAAAATATTGATGATACATAAACCAAATTAAAAATATAAAAGTTCCAGGAGTAGTACCCTGAGGAACCTCATAAACAATTATTGACTCTAATTCTCTCTGTCACAGGTGGGACTTGTAGCTCTTTTCTTACAAGGATAAACATTGTTTCTCTGAAGGGATTACATGAGAGGCATAACTGTGAGTGTTGGTGGATGTTTACACATGTTTTACAGATAAAGCCTTTTTATTGCAAGATGCTGACTGCTGCCATTTGTGCCACTGTGCACCAGCTTCTTGATACCCTCGTGGATCCATTGAATGTACCTGGACACCTGGGTGTAGAAGTTATACTTGCCCTTGCGTTCGCAGCCTTCGCCCCAACTCACAATGCCAGTGATGAAGTGGGTGTCATTATAACGTGTGATGTGTGGCCCACCACCATCACCTTGGCAAGCATCCCTAGATTTGTAGCCAGCACAGAACATGCCATTAGTGACTACAAACTGAGTGGAATTGATGCAGGTTTGACGGTCCACGTGGGTTACAATGAGGCGCTTCATGATCATGGATGGAATCTGAGCCTCCCCAAGACGTCCAAAACCACTGACCACAGCTACTGGCTCCCGCATCAGGACCTGAGATTAAAGGTAACAAATTTATCCAGAGTGGCAGCTGTCTGTTTCTGATCCTGCATTTCTTTTATTTTGTCGTGTAAACATGGCATAACTACAGCTATGTAGTAACTACAGGTCTTCAACTGGAGTAGACACCCAGATAATTAAATGTTTAAGCTTAATTTGTGGAAAACACAAAGGCCTTCTTTTAAGGTAGATAAAATAGAGCGACTGCTCTAGCTTGTGGGAAAGTCAACCCTCAAAGTATTTGACCATTGGCCAAGAAGAAATCAGATTTAGGAACCAACTACTTACAGATGTGGGATTTGCACTGTAGCATTTAAAGATTCTGTGGTGTTTCAAAGGTGCAACATACAATAAATGACATGTTTATATTCAACTGTTTGCCCGTCCCTGATTTTTTTTATTTATTGTTGGATCTTGTGTAGCACTTCTTGTGAGGGTGATATATAAACTAAATTTTACTTACTGACTTTTTTTTTTAAAACCTTCTTGCACATTTGTCACATTCACATGTTTTAGATCATCAAGCAAATGTTAATATTAGTCAGATACAGTTTTTAAATGATGATTTCATTTAAGAGAGTAGAAAAAAGCTATCCCAACCAATCTGACTCCCAAATGAATAACTGGATGAAAAAAAAAGGTTTTTAACCCTTTCATGCATAGTGGTCACTACAGTGAACAACTATTCAAAGGCTGTTTTCTTGCATTTGTGTCAGTGTTCATAGTATACTTGCACTTAAAACATTACATTGGACACTGATGTGTCACTCCATACCCTGCCACCCACTGGTCCCTTAATGTTACTATAGATGTATGACGTGTTTCACTGAAATCATTGTTATTTAACCCTGTCATGCATGAATTATGACAACTTTGATCAGGATTTTTTTCTCAAGTGTTTTTATTCATCTTTTCATGGCTAAAGATAAATACTTAAGAAAACAAAATCCAGATTGCGCTTGTCATAATTAATGCATGAAAGGTTAATCATGTTATCAGTCCATGTATAATGCTGGAGCAGTACCTGCACTAAGTATCTGTGATGATTTTGGGGGCATTTTTTACTGACAAAGTTTCAGCCATTAAGTCTTGTCTTGTTATCTATTGCCTCAGACCACGTTGTTCCTCTGACAAACTTTGATAAATTAACATTAGAAGCAATCTGAGCACTCCACCCTTTACATTGATGGGAAGGAGGTAGAAAGGGTAGAAAGGTTTACCCAATTACCCCAGAGACTGCTAGTAAACTACTACTGCTCCACCATCTAGAGCCTTCTGACCTACTGCTGTACACGCTGGTTTAACTGCTGTACTGTGGGGGACAAGAGGAAACTGCAGCGGCCGGCGGGTGGTGAGGGCAGCAGAGCAGGCAATTGGCACTTCACTAACCCCCCTCAGGGAAAATTATACTGGCAGATTTCAGTAGAAATCCAGTATCATCATCAAGGACTCCTCGCACCCTGGACACAGTGTTACTGTGCAGATACTTACGTTATTGCGTATTACACACATTCGCTGAGTAGCGAATAGATATACGTCTATTTATATCTTCTTCTCATATCCTAAAACAATCTCAATGTAAATCTACATGATGCCAACAGAGAGAACACAAACTGTGTTTCATCGTCTTGTAACAGTGACAATAAAGATCTATTCTATTGACACTAGCTTAAAGTTTCACCTTTTTGGCAAAGTCTTGCTCAGGAATGCAGACTGGCAGGATGAACCTCGTGAACTTGATAGGTGTAGCCAGTTTGATGAGTGCAATGTCATTATCGTAGGTTTGCTCATTGTAGTTTCTGTGGGCGAGGACTGCTTCCACTTTGTGGTCAACTTCAGTACCTTCATTCACTGACCTGTCAAACTCACCTGAGTGCGGAGAAACAAACAAAACACTTTAATTACAACAGTCAAAACAAAAATGAACACATATATGACACCTACAAATCTGTGGTCACATCTGTAATCTGTTTTCCGAATTTACTGATGTAATAGGACTTGTTTTATTGCAGTCTGGCACTGATTTTTAGTTGGGGCTATGGAGCTGTTATTGCATGATTTTGCCAGAAAGGGGACGTAGCGTTGAGTGCGATAGGCTGCTGCAATGCTCCCACACTTCAGACAAGGAAAATTCTCCAGACAGAAAAACCAATATCATAAAGCATGTAATAGAGTCCATCGTGTCCAGCCTGGTTCTGCCAGAAGTTTCTTCCTGTTAAAAGGGAGTTTTTCCTTCTCAGTGTCGCCAAAGTGCTTGCTCAGGGGGTCATATGATTGTTGGGTTTTTCTATGTATGCATTATTGTAGGGTCTGCCTTACAATATAAAGCGTCTTGAGGTGACTGTTGTTGTGATTTGGCGCTGTATAAATAAACTTGAATTGAATTGGACCTGTGCCAAAGAAATTACAGAAAAGATTTATATAAAAGATTTATAAATTCTTATTAGGCAGACAGTCATCATTAAAATAAAACTTAAGCAGGTATTTTTGAATCTGAATGTGATGACCTAGAATTGTATGTGAAGGTTTGTAATTGGCTCATCAGACCTACCGAGCCTGATGTTGAAGTCATCTGACTGGTTTACACAGCTGGCAGCTGTCAGGATGATGTTTTCATTGAGTATTGTTCCTCCACAAAGAACTATTTCATTTTCATTGAAAAGGAGGGCCTAAGATATGAAAACAAACCATGCAAAATGAGACTGTTAAACCTGTCAAGAGTTGGAAGATGTGTGAGGATGACAAGCAATTCTATGAACTCTGTTAAAAAACAAAAAACTCACTTGAGAGTGATAGTCTGTATCTGATCAATGCTTTTAATGCAGCTTCATGTTGTGGGTATGTTCATGTGTGTCTCTACCTGCCATGGACATTCTCCTGGTGGACAATACCCTGACTGGCGATATGACTCATCTTCTATTTCAGAGTCAATCAGACTTTCCAAAGTTGTCCAGGTCTTTGTTGGAATTTGGGTTCTGTTTTCAGCCACTAAATCGGACATTAAATCAGCATCCTGGATCGGCTCTGTGGAGTTCACACTGGTGTTAAGTGCAGTTATATTCCCCTCCATTGTTTTTGTCTGATGGTCCCTCAAAACTGTCTGCAGCCCTTTGGGGAGGATGAAACCACATCTGATGGTCTCTGCAAGAGTTTTATATAAATTAGACGTTGGATTTTGTCACCAGAAAGTTTAGTTTCACTTTTTATAGTTTCTAATGTCTGATCTGTGATGTATTTCACTGCTCTGCTATCAGAGTAAAAGACCAGGTAGATTCTTAAGACTCTCACCATTGAAATGGCAGGATTGTTTATCAGATGCCAGGAAGTACCCATCAGCACAGGAGCACTGAACACTTCCCTGGATCACATTGCAGAAATGTTCACAGCCGCCATTTTTGTTCTTACAGAGCTGAGGAAGAACTGCAAATACACAGACACTGTTAGGATTCTGCACTCCTCCTTGTGTGTGGCAGTTAAAGTGTTAACAATTCAGAGAGACTGTAGTTATGCTTAGCATCTGAACAAGCACCACATCACCAGTATCCCAGCTAGGATTAATCTTAGATATATATCTCTTTTCATGTACAATTTTCACCTATTTGAAAAACATTACTGTGATTTCTGTCCAGTTTTGAAGACAGTTGGAGAAACTATACCAGAGCAAGGCTCTAGGCCCAGATAACATCAGCCCCAGTATTCTGAGGACCTGTGGTAGCTAAGTGTGTTACCGAGTCAAATTTATAACCTGAGACTGAAGCAGCGGGAAACAAATCCCATGTGATTCCTGTACTGAAGGAGCTTGTACTCTTTGTTATTGTGGGTCCTTTACCTTACAATATAAAGTGCATTGAGGCAACTGATGTTGCTATTTGGTACTATATGAATTGAAAGAAAAAAAGAAAAATTGGTACTGTCAGAGCTATCATGAAGGTAAGACTAGTCTAAACATCTGTTGACCCTCTGCAGTTTGTATACAGATCCAGTCAGATTGTCTGTCTGGTTGACGCTATCTACGCAAGTATTAATTGTATAAATGATGACTGTTACATGCGTATATTTGTTGTTTAAAATCCACGTTTTATAATTTAGTAATTAAATTACTTGGAACAAACAAAACTCTGGAGTTTGCCACTTGGAAAGCCTATCGTTTTAGTTTAGTTTTAGGTTTGTTTTTCTTCATTTCTTTTCATTTGGCTTCTTATTTTTCTTTTCATTAATTAAGCAGATGTAGCTGAACATATAGTAGCTAATGTGAAATAAAACTCACCAGAGTAAACAGCCCAGAAGGTTTTCTACACACAAAAAAACAACAGTTAGAATTCAGGAGTCATTAAACAGGACTCTTTATTGTTTTTTCTGGGGTTTTTTTTACCTTTTAATTTTAAAAAAAAAAAAAATCTAATCTAATAACAAACATAAAAGCTCAGACTTGAGTCTGCAACTGAATTTCTAACTGTGCATCACGCACTCTAGTGGAATCTAAGAATGAAAATGCAGGTGTAGAAATGAGCTGAGTAGCTCCTTTTTAAATTTAACCAACTGTCTTCTGGGTGTCTTCAAAGTACTCGCGAGCCTCTTCAAAGTCGCACTGTTCCTCGTAGCACTCCCGCTCCAGGTTCCCCTGTCTGAACTCTTCCATAAATGTCTTGGCCCGTTTGGGCCGCAGGAACACGGTGTTGGCCTCGGGAGCTGAACGAAACACTAAAAACACAAAAGTGTGAATTTACAGGTTGTTTCCTGTGGCACATTTAGTCACAACTGGAAGAACTGAGCAACTGAAAAACTGGAGGCTCTGCCATGTTAGGTTAACACATAATGAATAACTAAAACTAACTGAAGTGTTAAAAAGTTAACAGAGGATAAAAAATTAAATAATCAGTCATTTAATTTCTACTGGTGCTTTGACAGCTTTGATTATAGCTGTTATATATTCATTTTTGTCTACAGTACTTTTTCAAAAATCTTAAGCCACGCCTCTGCTTACCCACCAATGGCTCTGTCCTCCACTGCAAGATAACAATCTGCAACTCACCTTGACCTGTGCGGTCCCCAGTCATCCTCCTATAGCCTCCCCATGGTATCATACAAACTCTAATAAAAGACTTAAAGCAAACCATTCCCTTTGGTCCAAGTTTGGCTTTTGCTCTTGAGACAGTTTATCAACAGTTGCACTGTTTAGTGGCATGACATGATCTATAGAAAATGCCAAAGATAACGCAGTTTGACAGACATAAAATAGTATTATAGCACCAATGAGGTGATTCCCAAACAGCTATTAGCTCTTCAAATGTATTCTTAAAAAATGAAGACTGAACAGTGAAGGCCCAAATAAGACGTGGCAAATTTTAAAGAAATTACAAGAAAGCTGCCCAAGAGAGTTCAGACTGTGCTGAAGAATTTTACAATTCATAAAACGTGTGTTTGCACATGTAAATAAATGTGCTTACAGAGTGTAAAGAAATGAGTGGAAGTCTTTTTTGCACATTAGTGTACAAATTCATGAAGTCACTGTTTAAATGTGATTTGAATTAAGAAGATTAGACGTCATGATGTTAATGGATTAATTTATACTTTTAGTATAATTTAAATACAATTTAATAATTGAATTTAATAACTATTTAATCATTATGTTTAAGGCTGCATTGGAGGTTACAATTTTTGTGTGTAATATTTTACTTAGCCATCCCCATTGTTTGTTTGTTTTTAACCACTAAGTTACTATAGAGATAATGATGCTATTTTGACACTGACTAAATATTGTCTGTTTGTTATAACCTATAACATTGGACACACAGCAATTTTTCTAATTATCACTACTGTAGTAACAGTAGTTGTAGTAACAGCAGGTTTTTATGCCACTTGAATATTTTTGTCAGTCAACTAAGGAACAACAATAACACAGCAACAGGTCAAAGGTCACTCTCTTACCTTTTCCTTGACTGAAGACCTGAAGGAAACATTGAAGAAGGCAGAACAGGAGAAGAGACGCAGACATGATGCTGACCGCCATGACACTGACTGAACTGCTGACACACACACACACGTACGCACACACACACACATATACACACTAATGACTCACAACAGCAGTATAAACCTCAGATATTGTATCATGTTTTTAACAGTCTGTTAAATGGAGTTCATTTATAACTGGCCTGAAATAAAGATGTCAGTCTGGTCCCAGGTTATTTTACTGGTGTGCATTTTTGTGTACATATAAACATCCAGTCCTTATAAAATTATTAGTTTTTTGACATTTTATTCACATGATTCTCTAAAGAGTTAAAAGACCACGCAGTTTCCCGTAAACGCTCTGTTCTTGAAGTGGACTCTGGCCTTTCCTTTAAAAACAAGCAAAACAAGCAGAAGGTCTCCATGTTTGTTTGTTTGAGGTAAACAAGGATAGATTTCATCACTGACATTTTTACATAACATTGAGTTTATCCAGATCAAGTAATAAGATGGTTCTTTAAAACCATTGTGCCACAAATTTTACATTTTCTTGAGCAAAAACACAATTTTGTAATACAACTTTTTTCCAAACTGTCACTGGAGATTCTTCCACATTTTGAATTACTATTATAAATACAAGCTATACTTATCATTAAATGACATCAGGCTTCAACATGTTCTTATAGTTTGCTTTTATTTGCTTCATGTTCAGTTTAAAAGCTTGTTTCTATCAGTGACTCATGAAGCATACATGGAACAAAACATTGAATTACTGAGATTATGAAATGCATTCTGTTTAAAAAAAAAAAGTAATTATACTAAAAAAAAAGTATTCAATCAAATTTCAGAGGATGTATCCTGTTTGAGATAGTATACATCTTTGATGGAAACAATCTCATGAGAAAGACTTACAGAAGAATCAGTGAACCAACCGAAACACGAAACATCTAAAGTGGAAATTAAGACCAAAATCAGAGCCCAGAGGAAATGATGGACTTGAATTGTTCAGAAATATGATGTCAGATGATTGCCCTGGAAAAATAAACATTAATACAAAATTAATGTTACATAAAATAAAATTAAAAATATAAAGGACCAAGAGTAGTGCCCTGAGGAACCCCCAAATAATTACTGACTCTAATTCTGTTCGTCACAGGTAGGATTTGCAGCTCTTTGCAGCACTAGGATGAATAGGTTTCTCTGACTGTTCATTAGTGATTACATGAGTGGTGCAAAGTCTGGCCGATCTCTGCTCAGTGGATGTTGACAGATGTTTTACAGATAAAGCCTTGTTATTTGGGCATGGTTCCTCTTCATCCTGCTGCCGGTCTTGTTTTTTTGGATCAGCGTCTTCATACCATCACGGATCCATTGAATGTACTTGGACACCTGGGTGTAAACACCATACTTGCCCTTGCGTGCACAGCCTTCACCCCAGCTCACAACGCCAGTGACAAAGTAGGTGTCACGGTAACGTGTGACATGAGGCCCGCCACTGTCACCTTGGCAGGCATCCTTGGCTATTGTGTCATAACCAGCACAAAACATACGCTGCGAGATACGTAAAGGAGTGGATTCGATGCAGGTTCGACGGTCCACATAAGGTACAGATAGGCGCTGCAAGATGCTGGATGGCTCCCGACCCTCGCCGAGACGTCCAAAACCGCTAACCATGCCATCCGGCTGCTGCATCAGGACCTGACAATAGAGGTAATCCATGTATGATTGTCATATAAACGTCACATAATCAAACAAATTTGGTAAATTCCTTTTTGGTTGTTTTTTCTTTTCTTTATGTTTCTTTCTTTCTTTTTTCTTTCTTTTTTAAAAAAATATGAACTAAAGATTAAGGCTGCATACGCAAATGTTTTGCTCAACCAAACCTTTTTATAAGCTTCTCTGTTCAAGTATAAAATCTAGTTGTTTATCAATAGTCTGAAGTAATATGAAAAAGTTTATTAAGCAAGATAAAACTTTTTGCTTTTACTAATTGCACCGTCACCTCAAAATTAGATTTTCCATTACATTTTGCATTATTGACATCAGGGGATTCTCAGAATTTTAGTGATAAACAAAATAAAACTCATGTGGCACCAGCAGCAGTATCTGCATCCTCTTTGGCCTCATATGAGAAATCTATTATTAATCTAGGTGTGATGGATTCTCTAAAGCTCAATTCTCATGTGAACAGAGTGGTAAAACCCTGTTTTTTCCAGTTCTAGCTGTGGTTAAAAATTAAGCCTCCTTTGTCCAAACGTAACTTTGCTTTTATAACATCTTGTCTTAATCACCCAGGACTCGTTGCTCACCTACAGCTGATGCAAAATGCTGCAGCTCGCTTTTTATCTGCTGCAAGCAACATTATGTCAGTCCAATTTCACCTTCAGTTCACGGACTTCCAGTTCATTTACAAATCCAAGTCTCTTAATGATTGCACCCCCATTTTATCTATATCAGCTGCTGCATCCATCTGTCCCACCTTGTTGTCTACGTCTCTATGCTCTCTTTTATGTTTGGTGTTACAACACTTTGGTCAGGCCTGTTATGTATAAATAAAAGTGATATGTAATGGTATAGTATGATATGATTTTAAAAATTCACCTTTTCAGCAAATTCTTGCTCAGGAATGCAGGCTGGCACAATGAACCTGCTGAATTTGATGGGTGTGGTTAATTTGATGAGTGCAATGTCATTGTGGTAGGTGTCTGCCTTGTACCCTCTGTGGGTGAGGATCGTGTCCACAATATGGTCAGCTTCAGTGCCCTCATTTACCAACCTGTCAAATTCACCTGAGTGCAGAGAAAAAGCAAAGATGTTCAGCGATGTTTTAATGAAAAATCATAGTAATTAAATTTTTTTACAGCATACAAAGCGCTTTGAAAACAGAACACTGTTAATCACGTCCCGATAAGGGACATGGCCTAAAACCTGTGCGTAACCAACAAAAAGTTCTAAACTGCACTATTTCTACCAACTTAAAAAATGCACA